GAAGGTCATCAACATTTATGTATTCATCCACGTTTGAATCACTAGCTGCTTGGCTAACATCGTTGTGACGACTGGATTCACCTAGCTGATTTGACAAGGCTCGGATCTATTGGTTATGCTCTTCCCTCATCTGTCGCATAGTCATTTCCATTTCAATCTTGAATGCCTCTTTCTACTTGGTTAGAGCATCCTCAAGAATTTTGGTGATTTGCTCGGTGTTGATCATGAATGCCTCGTGGGATTATCCTGGGCTGGACACTTTTTTGTCAGAAGCGACTGCAGAGTTAGCATCTGATGCTTTATCATCCAAGGATAATCCCCTCTATATTCTCTGATAATCTCTTTGTCTAATAGTTCCCGATCGCAACCGGGTTAGACGATGTGACATAAGTGGGTCAGAGCTAGAAGGTCGAATCAACTTTCCCTTATCAGTCATATTTATTGTGACTTCCGGAAGTTCATCACCTTGAACGGCTAATTGTTTCTTGCGGAAACGCTTTGGCTTGGACTTAGTCGCTCCGTTAGAGATCCTCTCAAATACCGAGACCCTTTGTGGAGCGGTCTTGGGGCAGCTACACGCTTATAATACTACCCTAATTAGTCGGACACACGGGCAGTGAGATTCTGTTTCTCGGGTACTTCTCTTCCGAGACTTGTTCGTACCCCTAGCTCGATAGTACAACTCGTCGGTCTGAAGACCGGAGCAACCTATTGTGTGTTGGCACGACTCCTCAGGTATAACGTCATCGTCTGACGAATATTTTTCCTTCTGAGGACTTGCTGCCTTGATGGCATTCTCAAGAGTCATACGTTCGGAGTCACGCTTTCGTGAGCGCATGACCTTAACGAGCTCTTGGATATGACTCACAGTCCTAGGCGGTCATTTACAAGAGTTTTTCGTGTGCGACCCCTAGCTCGAGTAGTTGCTCGGGGTTCAGTCACCGGACCCAAGCGTCCTTTGATCGAGGCTTTGCCTCGACCCGCATGCGAAGGATCAAGATGATCCGTGATCTTAAATCGAGATAAATCCATGTTGTCGCGATGCTTCACCGGAGGTGCGGAACTCGAAGAGATCGACGAAATAGGTACAGAACGTCTTCTGTCTTGACCCTGGCACGGGTCAGATTTGAGTGACCCGCAGGTTGGAGGATCGGATCCGGGTGACCCGCGAGCAAGAGGGTCGGATCTGGGTGACCCACGAGCAGGAGGGTTGGATTTGGGTGACCCGTGGCTTGGAGGGTCGGATCTGGGTGACCCGCGAGCAGAAGGGTCGAATATGGGTGACCCACGACTTGGAGGGTGGGATTGAAGTGACCCACGAGCAGGAGGGTCGGATCTGGGTGACCCATGGCTTGGAGGATCGGATCTAGGTGACCCGCAAGTAGGAGGGTCAGATCTGGGTGACCCGCGAGCAGGAGGGTCGGATTGAAGTGACCCGTGGCTTGGAGGGTTGGATTGAAGTGACTCGCATTTTTCGATCTCTTTGACCGTCGTTTTGGACTTTGGCCTCCATACTTTATGCAGTCTTGGTTGTTTCTTGGCTAGGTCCTTCTGCATCTTTTGTGCCTTTTGCACAAGAATTCGCGTGTGCGTAAGTGCGTGACGCTTCTGGATTCACTCCTCCAGAGTTAAACGGATCCTTTTGACTTGGATCCATTCACTTGTTGATGATTTGGAGGAGGGGGCGTTTGCTCGCTGTTGGGTCGCTTGATGCTCCTTGAATTTCAGATCTGCCTCGTAACGGATCCCGTCTATCGGCTCCAAAGCCTTAGCAAGCTGACGCGCGAGGCGTTGACGTCACCTTTAACGTGCCCTCTTCGATAGGATTAGCGAGCCTTCAGTACTCAACTCTTTGATTGAGGAGGAGTTCAGATCTGTAGATCCGGCCTCGTTGGAAGCCAGAGTGGCATTGCAAAGCGAGAGGGCAGCAACAACGGGGATCTTGATCTTCCTGCGCTTACGAGGGGTGGAGGATCTGGAGGAGGACGACGACATATACTCCTCGAACTTCAGTTGGTCGAACTCATATTCGACCACTTCTTCAACCGGGATGCAGATCCGAGGTTGCGACACGACAGCTTCGACAACGAAGCTGTTGGCTCCTACTGTGGTCGCCAACGTGTTTGGGTAGAAAAGTATTTTCTTCATTGTATAACTCATTACAACTTCGATCGTTACAACAAGTTCAAAAAGATCGATCTTTTTATAAGATCTTTACACAATGAAAATAAAAGTTACAATTTTCGTTCAAACAACACGCATCCGGAGCCCTATAAATACAAGCCTAAGTCCTCCTTTCAGTGGGGGGCAAATTATTATCAAGAAGTGGAGGTGCTGCTGGATTGAGGAGTCAAGGAGCATGAATTTCAGCGATGGCAAATCAGATCCAGGCGAACTTCGGCATAAATAAGAAGCTATTCGAAGGATCTGAACCCCGTCCGTCCGTTCCTTGAGATTAGGCTTGGTCTTAATCTCGAGAAGAGCCCTGATTTCGCTTGGTCGATTTTAGCGCGTCAAATCAAACACTCTCTCGGTGAAGGGAAGCTCTGCCTAATTTTCTATCAACCGAATCCAGATCTAAGGCGGTCCACAGATACTCCGGTACAGAAAAAGATCACATGTGAAGCAATAAGCGATTAACACCTGTTGCGTGTTGTTTGAACGAGAATTGTAACTTTTATTTTCATTGTGTAAAGGTCTTATAAAAACCTGTTGCGTGTTGTTTGAACGAGAATTGTAACTTTTATTTTCATTGTGTAAAGGTCTTATAAAAAGACTGATCTTTTTGAACTTGTTGTAACGATCGTGTAAAGGTCTTATAAAAAGACTGATCTTTTTGAACTTGTTGTAACGATCGAAGTTGTAATGAGTTATACAATAAAGAAAACAATTTTCTACCCAAACACGCTGGCGAGTAGTTCGGCCTTTTTGCTGAAATGTTTGGTGTTTTCCGACTTTTTCGGGACTTGTATTTTCTACCGTTTTATGTGTTTGACCGTCTTGTTTACTTGTACGATTTGCTAACTTGCTTCATGCGCTCGTTAGCTTCTTTACGGCACTTGAAACTGATCGATAAGCGCAAGTTGACTGACGAGTACGAACTGATTGACGCGCGCGTGTTGACCGACGTGCGCGAACTGATTGGCACACGCATGTTGACCGACGCGCGCGAGCTGATTGACGAGCGCGGGCTGACCGACGCGCGTGAACTAATTAACGAGCGTGTGTTGACCGACACACGCGAACTGATTGACGCGCGCGAGCTGATTGACACGCGCAGGCCACTTGGTTCGTCGTTTCGCTTCATGCACTTGTCGACGACAGATAATCCTCTTAGACTTGGATAACGACGTTCGTTGTCTTCTCTCCGTCTCGAGCTGTGTACAGACACCTATAGGCATTTTTAGACGCCTACATCTATATGACTTATTGGACTTTGTCAGTACCATACTTCCCTAATCACAATCACATTAAACACAGAGGTGACTCATCTCATCTGCAGTCGACAACTGTAAAAAAACTGTCGACTGAGCCGCATGCCTGGACTCAGCCGAAGTTACATAATTACCCTCCAGGATCTGCTATAAGGAGGAGATGCTATCCACTGTATAGGGTAAGCAAGCTCTTGCTGCAAAAAACACTTTAACCACATTTCTTCTCCAATCAAGCATATTAATGACTTAACCGTCGGAGGAATCGCTAGAGATCCTAATTTCAATCCTCTCACGTGTTGTTTATGAACAAGAATGGATCATCTACCCAAGAACTAACTGTCTAAAGAAGATCAAGGAACTCTAATACTCTGACAAATTCATACTTAATATCCTATTTGATTACTGACATCAACATAACCTAACTACGAATTGCACTATTATTTAATACATTATAGTGAATAACAGTATTATAATTATACTATATATAAATATTAGAAATGACAATAGTTATAAATAGCATATAATCTATTATAATTATTCTATGTTATAGTTTAAAAAATTATAATTATATATTATAATATATTAAATAAGTATTTAATTTGTAAACATCTAAATAAATTATGATCAAATTGTAATAAGTATCCAAAGTATAAAAATTACTAATATAATTCTTTATTCATAATTTTATTTATTAATATAAGAATCTATATTATTATAAAAGTCAGTTCATAATTTTGCACTCGAAGAAAAAGAATTCAAAAAAAAAATGAGAGCTCTTGTTTAACTTTTATAAGGCATCAGTGCCCTCCTCTCAAAATCACTATGGCGTGATAGGCAGGTAAAGTGAGAGTTTATGTTCCCTCAAATTTGATGAGTTGAGATGAATGTATGTATGCCTCGACTCAGGTTATTTTCTTGCAAAAATAGCCTCGCCTCATATGAGGTAAGGGCGCATGTATTTTTTTTATATTAGTATGCTTAAGTTTTAATTAACTTAACCATTCTATATTTTTTATGTTTGGCAAATTATGGTGGGTTAACTCAATTTAACCATTGTATAGATTTTTTGTGTTTGCCAAATGGTACCGTAGTGACAGAAACAAAACAAGGGACATTGTCAACATTAGAGCATTCCTTATTAGCTTTAAGGTGTTTTCAGATATGTGCTCTTCAAAGTATAGATAGGTATTGTTAAATTTACCCTTCAAATTATTGTAATTCTAAATTTGCCTCTAAACTGATTTATCAGGAAGCAGAATTGAGAACTCTTTTTAGGAATAAAAAGAGATTTTTATTATAAAGCATCAAGAAGAATTTGATTACAGATAGCATCTTGACCGTTCCCAGCCTTCCAAAATGAGATACATTTATATCTTTGCAATAATCAACCGTTGTCACATTTATGTATATCTGTTTTGACCAATTCTATCTCAACAGAAATATGCTCCACTCCACAAAACCAGCCAAAAAAATGTTTGAAATCCCATCAGAAATAGAAAAAAAAATTGTCTCTATTATTTCTTAAAAAAGCAAAAGATAAAACAAATTCACATTCCCCATTCTCTCTTCTCTCTCAGATTTGTAATTAATCCATGATCTGCAACATAAGAAATTCTTTTCTCAGGTATGATCCCTAGTTCATCATTTATCCAAAAATCTTAATCCTAGATTAGCAATTTTATTTGTTTTTTATTTTTAAAATTTTTCTTTTTGCTACCATCTTTTTGCCTGTCCCTAAAACTCCACCTAATCTGTTATTAATCATCATAATGTAATTCAGATCTTTATTGTTAATAAGATAGAAAGAAGCAGGGGATAAAAAAAACCCTAGATGTGCATGATTATGTTACATTGTTGTTAAGTTTGGCAACCTTGCTTAGAATAGAGAGGTACATAATGTACTTTGTTGATTTGTCATATAATTATGCTTGTAAAAGTGTAATGTGACCTTGAAAGGGATTGAGATCATGCTAAGCTAGAGAGCTATAGTTTTTCAGTTCAACATGTCACAGCACAGATTGAGCGTCCTTTTTTACGGGTCGAAAAAGTGAACATCTTTACATCATTATGAAATTTCTCATGACATTACATAAAAACTTTCTTCGAGAAAAAAGTTTACCGTTGAGTTCAAATGTTATCGTTTATTAATTTCAAACAGAGTCGCCTAGTAACATCATTACTATTACACTGTTTTGCAGAACAAATATCTGCCCAAAGAAAGGAAAAGGGAAAATCAGGAAGAGAGATGGCATTTAAAGCAAAGGACACCATAATGCATATCAGAAAAGTAACAGTATTCTCAATGAGAATTATTTACAGATCAGGTTGCAATCATCCTTTCATTTGGTGCATGCTCTTCTTCTTGCTTATACTTTACAGATATATTCCACCATTATTCGGGTTCGTTATTTATTCATTGCCCGTTGCTGTCTGCACTGCTCTCGTCTTCGGAACTCTTCTACTCTTCGTCGACTCAAAAGTTCCATATACAGTAGATAAGCAAAATGTTAAAGTTCCTCAAGAAGAACAAGATACTGGAGATAACAAAAATTCTTTTAGTGACGGTGAGGACAATGAATCTGAGAAAGCTGATGTATCTGATATGATTCCTATACTCGACGAGCTTCACCCTCTTTTAGATATTGATGCTCCACAGAATGCAGAGTTCATTGATGACTCTGATGACGGGAGTACTGACGAAGAAATTGAGAATCAAGAAGACGAAGAGGATGAAGCAAATGACGATGCTCATGAAGTTGTGTTGAAATGGACAGATGATGATCAGAAGAATTTGTTGGATCTCGGGACTTCAGAACTTGAAAGGAACCAGAGACTAGAAAATTTGATTGCAAAGAGAACAGCAAGGAAATTTCTCAGCTTTCATGCGGAGAGAAATTTAATAGATTTTGATGCAGGTGATCCAGTTACAGGAACTGATAATTTTCAGACACCACCAATATCTGCACCAAGAAAAAACCCTTTTGATAATATTGATGAGGCTCCAGGTTCTGCTCCTTCAATTCTTCAACCGAGACAGAATCCTTTCGATCTTGCTTATGGTCAAAATGAGGATTTCATTCTGAGGCCATATTTTGCCACTGAGAGCATAGAAGCAGAAGAATTGCCAGGTTTTGTTTCTTTAGAGAAAGAATATAGTGAAAATGATGAAACAAATTCAGTGGATAGAGAGAGTGAGGATCACAAGGAGGATGTAGAAGTTGAGGGGGCTGAGGTTATTGATGAAGAGGAGTATGATGATTCGAGCTCATCGTCGATGGAGGAAATTGAGGAGGATTCAAAAGTTTGTGATGAATTGGGTGGTGATGAACAAGAAAGGGATAAATCTTTGATGGATCCTGATGATGCTGTGCAATCGACAATGACGGAGGTAACGTACCCTGATGATCCTGTGCAGTCGACGACAACAGAGGTCGTGGATGACCGTCAAGTTGCTGAGCCAGTGTATGATTCTAGTCCTTCTGCAGAACCTGAAGATGCTTTATCACTTGAGGGTAAGGTAGAATTATCCCTTCATTGTAAGAATGTAAAAGCATATGGATACTCATGTGTTTGAGTTTATATCATCATCATCTGTATCCTATAATATATAGAAATGGATATAAGTAAAATCTGGATGTGTATCTGTACATCCAGATATATGTGTCGATATAAGACTGAAATTATTTTCATCTTATGTTAGAGTATCTGAGACTTATTTTGACTATCTGCACACACATAAATATATCTATATCCAAACTGTGCGTATCTATATGTATGTATAAGTACGTAGGGACATATGTATGTGTGTATATGCATGTATGCATGTACATAGATGCATACGGACATCTATGCATGAGTGTATAATGTGTATGTATGTGCATATATAAATGTGTGCATATGTATATGTATGTGGGTATACATGTGTGTGTTTAATGCAGGTTTTTAGATATGTCAAACTTATTAATTTAAGAATTTTTGTTACATTTAAACAACTCATGTGTCACATAACCTATACATTTTTCAGTCTTATCGTTTTTCCTCATATCCGATATATAACTCCATATATGTCAGCTTCCTCTCGTCCAATTCGTATGTTTTGGAGGATATGGGTTATGCCTTTTCCTTATCTAACCATGTTCATAGTTGTATTCAACTTGTTTACGTCCCTACATTTCAGAATACATAAATTATCAAATCATCATCGAAGTCATTGATATAGCTCTCCTTCATGCAGGCAAAGAAGAAGACCTCCCAAATGCTGAAAGTACTTGGGTAGCATCATCAAGATTATCTTTCATCGACAGAGATGAATCAAGGACAACAGAGATCGACGAGATTAGCGAAATGGATGTTATCCCTGTCACTTTATCTGAAACTGGTGAAGATTTTGTGCATACTAAGTCTCCTGTGAGGCTTTCGCCTTTGTTGGTTAGCACTGTCGATCCAGGTGCAATTATCAACAACCAACGATCAAGTAACTCATCCATAACAGGAAAACCACTTACACCGAGGGATGCACCAAAATTAGTACTGCAATCTGAGAGAGCTGGTAGCAATAAAATTACTGCAGATTTGCCACCAATTTTTGAGGAGAATTCCGAGAATTTGGAAGTTGAAGATGAGAATGGGAGCATGACAGATGAAAGTGCAACTTCTATTGTTGATCAAAGTGTCGAGCAAAGTTCGAAGGAGTCTGTACAGTAAGAGGAATATGGCAAAGCATTGGTAATTCTATTGCGCGGACTCAATTTTTTGTAGTTGTTCTCAAGTTATTTTGAACAAATTTGAGAAAATAACCATATAAGAAAAAAGTTCTTTGCTTGTACAGGTTTACCTCCGCTTTTTGCTAATTGGATGTTGTGAGTTTTACCATAGTATACCATGGAAGTTCAGATATTTCACTCATCAAGTTGACAATATTAGTTTATATTCTGCAATATACTCTTTGCAGTACATTCACTTGAATGTTTCTAGTGAATTATCTCTAAATTGAGAAAATCATCAATTGTAAGCTGTAACCATCCAAAGGGTCTTCAGGTTTTGCAGATATCGAAGCTGAATATATTGGAATTTGACTACAAAATGAGTATTTATTAGTTTTTTTTTATCAAGATTTGGAGTATTATGTTCTGATATGAAGTTTTCTGGGTGACAAGGCTGAGAAAATATCAGGATACTATTTTCTTTATATATATGTAGGTCAATGTAGCTCTTGTCAAGTGTTGGACTGTAAAATGATAATCCTCATCACAATTTCAAAGTTTTGATGTAATGCAGGAGATCTTTAATACCACACCATGGTATTAGAGAAACGTAGGTTCAGATTCAAATGGTCACAAACTTAAAGCGTATTTAAGAAAAATATTGGTATAAACTGCTAGCCAAAGTATTCCTGGAGAAAGAAATTAAAACAAAAAGAGAGCAAGAACAGAAACAAATGTTAAAAGGTTGCAAATTCTAGATCTAAAGTTGATCTGAAACGGCTAAATTACCATATTGACATTAAAAGAAGTACCCCATGAGCAACAATGTATTAAAATTATCTCCGGCGATAACAAGGTATTTAAACTTGCACGATGAGATAAATAGGTCCAAAAATGAATTTTCCAGTTATTTTTCCGGCGATCACTCAGGTAATCTGCCACATGTGCTTAGGTGGCATGTTTACGATGATGTGACAACTGTTATTAGCTTCATTCAACCCATTGGAAGAAGTGATTTTCAAATTAGGTTAAGAAAAGATTGATTTTTTTAAAATTTGGGACTTCTTCTTCTTCATTCAAATTGGTGGTTCTTTATTGCTTGAGCTCAAAGAATCCATGTTCTCAATCAATGGAGAACCTTATTTGATGGAAGAATGAGAAGAAGCTCCCAAATTAAAAAAAAAACCCTCTTTGCTTTTACACTAATTTAAAAATATATCCCTCTAATGATTTGAATTAGGCTAACTATAGCTGTCATGTTATCATAAATATGCCACATAAACATCATGTGACAGATTATATGAGTGGTCGCCAAAAAAATTGGTCGGAAAATTCATTTTTGAGCCAATTTGTCTCATCGTGTAAGTTTAAATGAATTGTTGTCACCGGAGATTATTTTTGTTATAACAATCTGGTTATTGAATACTACTTTTAATACTAATCTAGTAATTTAGCCAATTTGAAACAGGTGTACTGCTGGCTGTATGCTTTTACATTCAACAAACGTCATCAATGACCTGTATAAAAAAAACAAGGGTAAATTTCACAAAACCCCCACTTAAGGTTGGCCTTCTCCAAATAACTCCCTGAACTTTAAAATATCACTCAACTCCCTTTATGTTTTGTCAAATAACCCTCCCAACTAACACCATTGGATCTGAATGTTCACATGAAAATCATTTGTCTAAATAACCAAAATACCCCTAGAATAACCCTTGTTATGACCTCTTAGTAATTTTAAAGGTAGTTTTCACAAAACCCCTTTAGTTTGCTCATTTCTTCATGATTAATTAATTTGCTTCCATCTGATAACTAGTGTGTTAATTTGAAAATGTATTTTGACTTTTTTTTACCAGTTCACCTAACACCGTTGTGGGTTAATTGAAAAAAATGAAAAAGTTTGGGGTTTTATGAAACATTCCAAACTTAAGGTTAAGTGATATTTTTAGTGTTTAGGAAGTGTTATCTCAAAATCGGATAAAAGAGGTTTTTAAAAATTACCCATGGAACAATTATTTATCTAATTTGTGCCAGCTTAATCCATTTTTTATCTACTGTAGAGATATCCTCTCATACGATATCTTTTTGAGAGATAATATGTAACAGATGCCAGTTACATGAGGAGGAAATAGAATATATTATTCGCATCTTTTTTTTCTTTTTCATCTCTAACGTGTAGATGTTACTCCACCTGACTCAATGTCCGAAATTTTCAATTTTATAGAACAAGCAAAATTTCCAAACAAAAATTCAATCAAATATCTTTATTTTTGTTAGATTTAATATAAAATTATAATTGTTTACCTATACGACAGCTTCACAGTTTTAGTGTAATAGTTAGGGACTTCAAAATTGTATCACTCAACTTCTGAATTTTACACTGTTGCGTGAATTTAGCTGTTTTCTATATTGATGTTATGGTTATAGACTTTAAGAATTTTTAGTTTTCAAAATTACTTTCTTGTTTTGAAATTTTTAATTACTATACATAGCTGCCATCTATCCAGAGAAATACAATGGAAATTGATACATGATTGAATCAGGACTTCTAGTTACATTAAAAAAAAATGCTTTTTCTTAAAAAAATGAACTCCAAAAATTTAACTAAAAAAAACTAATCAAGTCTTTTATAACCAGCTCCTGCCTTTTTTACCTACTATAAAAATAATAAAACTCTCTTCGTCTCTTTATAAAATCTCAATATAAATGTTCCCCTATTTACAATAATATTCATGGCTTTTCTTCAAAACGATGATAAATTATTTGATTGCGTCCTGAGAAAAACCTTTCAACTCGATCTACTAAGCAGTTGTGACACACTCCATGAAATTGATACTTTGGATTATTATCCTAAAGACCTCACTGGTATTATAAAAACCACCCTGAATTTTCAAAACCTACAGATGACACATGAAATTTAAAAATTACCAACAGCCCCCTAAAAATTTATAATTTGTAAAAAACACCCGCAAAGTTTAAAAAATTATAAAAAACGCCCTCAAGAGTTACAAAACAATCTTACAATTTTCTAAACTTCCAAATGACACATGAAATCTAAAAATTTTCAGCCGTCTCCTATATATATAGAATTTGCAAATAACACTCTTAAAGTTTTAAAATTTATGAAAAACACCCGTGAAGGATTTAGAATTACAAAAACCATCCTGAAATTTCAAAACCTACAAATGACACATGAAATCTAAAAATTACTAACAGGCCTCTGTAAATTTATAATTTATAAAAAAACATCCTCAAAGTTAAAAAAATTATAAAAACCTCCCTCAAGAATTCAAAATTATATAAAACTCTCAGAATTTTCTAAACCTGCAAATGACAGATAAAATTTGAAAATTATAATTTATAGAGAGAGAAAGGAGTCTCTCTCTCTAAAGAGATGGCCGGAGAAAATTATCCGTTCATCTCAGCCTCGAAATCCCCACCGTCATTCTCTCTCCTCTTCATCGCCTCCTTTCTCTCCTCTCCCTCTATCTCTCTTCTTCTTCTCTCCCTCCACAAACCCTAACCCTAACCCTAGATCCACTCCACTCGCCGACTACTCCTCCGTCTCCTTCCTCGAGAAATTCATCACTGCCGGATCCCGATCGAGATATCATTCCGGTGGCGTGGACTCGGCCGGGGCCGTCGATCGATTGATCTCGAAGAGGGAAGAGGATGGAGGTCGATTCGATTTGTCGGTGGTTAGGGTTTATGTTTATGAGATGCTGGCTAAGTTTACCTATGATCTGCTTCGGTTATTTAAGAATACTTATAAGGAGACCGTGAATCTCACTTCTAATGGGAGCCCAGTTCATCAGACTCATCGAACAGGTAACTTCAATATTTTTTTTTTAAATTTGGTTGTTTGATTAAGAAATGGTGATCAAGGACTTGCCCAAGTCGGAGTTAGGAGAAAATTTTAAAATAGACCCATGTACAACTTTATTGCCCAAAATCGACCCATTTCAAACTTACAAAAATCGAAGTTTCAACCACGTCAGCGGTGCAGGCTAAAACTGGGTCGATTTAAGAAAAATGTTTCTTTCTAATTAGTTGGGGTTGCCAATCCTGACTAATTAGACACTAGTTTAATTACAGGGGTTAGTAGTCGGGGCTTAAATCGCAGTTCAAAATAATCACAGTTTCCAACCCCGACTATTTTGAAAGATAATTAACTAGGTTTCTAATTAGCAACCGCGACTGGTTAGAACACAGTGTTTTTCTCAAAATCGACTCAGTTTCAGTCACCGCTGATGAGGTGGCTGAAACTTGGTTGATTTTTATAAATATGTTTTAAGTAGGTCGATTTTAGTGAATAAAGTAGTTAATGAGTCTATTTTAAAACTTTCTCCGTTGGAGTTATGTACATAAAAGTTTTCTCCCCCAAAAATACTTTTTTTTACACTTTGATGCCCCAAAGTTTCAATACCGTTTCACTTTATACCCAAAATTATTTCTTTGACACTTTGATACCCCAAAGTTTCAATTACATTTCATTTTGATACCATATCCAGATTCTGTTAGATTTTTTAGTTAAATTTATATCATGTCTTTAGCATGCAATATATTTAGATCCATTTTACCCAAGCACGTGCCACAAATTTAACAGGTAGAGGTATCAAAATGAAATAAGATTGAAACTTTGGGGTATAGAAGTGTTAAAAACATATATTGAGGTACCAAAGTGTCCCCCAAATTTTTTTTTTTTTGAGGGTATAAGAGTGAAAAAAGGGTAAACTCTGGTTACTGAAGTGAAAATCAGCCTGAATGAAATTAGCTCCATGTTTTTTGAGGGTATAAGAGTGAAAAAAGGGTAAACTCTGGTTACTGAAGTGAAAATCAGCCTGAATGAAATTAGCTCCATGTTTTTTGAGGGTATAAGAGTGAAAAAAGGGTAAACTCTGGTTACTGAAGTGAAAATCAGCCTGAATGAAATTAGCTCCATGTTT